GATGAGCAGTGCCTGGTTCATGCCCATAGCACCGAAGCACAGCACCCCGCTTGTCAGTTGACAGGGACCTAGAACAGCGCCTGACACGTGGCACTGGCTCATTAAAGGTTCATTTCTGCGATTTCCTGTCCCCTGGCTGTCCTAGGGGATGAGACATGAGAGACCCCTGGAAAGCCACAGGCTCTTGTCACACCTTGAGCCTTCTTGCCTGGGACGGGCTTGGCATCATGAAGATCCTTCGATGTAGGATTGCTTGGTCCAAGAGCCGCACTGCTTGGGCCAGCTCACAGAAGCAATGAGTCCATCACTTCTCTGACTCAGCAGTATGATTTCATCAAGGAGACCCCAGACCACCTTTGCCTGCTTATCATGCCCTGCTCTCGGTGCACTATAACAGGAGCCCCTGTGGTGCAGTGAGCTCCACATTGAGCTGCTAGCCACACCGTCAGCGATTGGAACCCCACCCTCCCTCCATGGGAGAAAGATGAGACTGTCTAGCCCCGTAAGGATTTAAGGTCTGGTGGAGCCCAAGAGGCAGTCTCCGCTGCCCTATCCAGTCGCTCTGAGTTGAAGCAACTCCAAGTTAGGGAATGTGTTTTAGTTTCTGGCCATTGTCACCCTTAATCACTCATTCAACCAGACTTCTGCAGAGTGCCCGCTCCGGAGCAGGCAGCGTCCCTGGAGCAGGGGATGCAGCCGTCAGCAGACTAAAGCCCTGCCCACGTGGCGCTGACACTCTTGTGAGGTCTTTCCTACCCTGGATGGTTCCTGCGAACAGACCTGGTGGCCTCTCCCAGCCTCCGCTTCCTCATCTGTGGCCTAAGGACAGTAATCTTGTCCTCATCAGGAACTTTGTGAAGATTCCAAATGACTGCGCATGAGAGCCCCCACTATGCTGGGTGCCTGAGAGTTCCCTGGATGGGGTCAGTTGTACATGAAGCCAGGGTATAGAGTTGGGGGAGACCAGAACCTATGCCAGGCTTCTGTCCAGCAGACCAAGAAGTTCCTTAGCACCAATTCCTCACACTCCCTGTGTTTGTGGAGTCTTCCCATCCCAAGCTTTCTGCTTTCTTTTCCTGGCTGCTTGCTGTGGCAGTGACACACACACACACACACACACACACACACACACACACACTCACACACATCTGTTTGGACCTGGCCCCAGTATTTTCTCTTTATATTGAATTGAGGGACCAGGAAGCTGGGTTTCACCTGGCCTCACCTTACACCTAGGGTTGCTGGATCTTTGTCAGGGTTCGCATGTGCCCTGACAATTAGTGTCGTCACTAATTGTGTAGCATGGATGCTGCGCATTTCTCAGAATTCTCCCTCAGCCCCTCGAATTCCTCACTCTCAGCCCTCCTTGGATGACAAGCTCACAGCTGGCCCACACTCTTATGTAATTCTTGTCCTCTTCGACTGACCATGGTTCTCCTCTCTGCCCGTCCAAAACCTGCCAACCTTTATCCCACTCCCAGCTCTACTAAGAATCTTTCTACAACCCTTCCACCTCTACTTCCGGCATCTTCCGCTTGGCCTAAAGCTGGCCCCTGCACACTTCCCATGCTTCCTGTCTCTTTCTCTGTGCAATCCAGTCTCGCTGACCTCCATTGGGCTCCCGGAACCACCACGCTTGATTTCCCCGGCCCCGCCTTGACCAGTTCATTCCAGACCATCAGCTTCCAAGACACCTTCTTAAAAACCCATCTGCAATCTTCTTAAATCCTTCAATCTGGCATAAAGCCCAGTTATATTCCTTGGTAGCAACTACTAACTTGTCATTAAAAAGCCCACTGTGTACACAGTATTTAGGGAATGTAAATGTCTAGTACAGCTAAATGTATACATTGAGAGATAAAACTCCTAGGATAAGAGCTTGTATTTGGGGGACTTATTTGGGGGACACGAGCAAACAATGACAGGTTTCATGCTGAATGACTAGTCACTGAGGGCCCGAAACCTTGAGTTCAACGAGGAGGACTTTTTCACTCGGTTGACGGATTTTGAGTTGGTTGGCTAGTTGGTTGTTTGAATAGTGACTGGATGGTTGATTAGTTGAATAGTTGATAAGTTATTGTTATTATTTGTCTGGTTAGTTAGGTAATTAATGGACTGGTTTGTTGGTTGGTTATATGGATGGGTGT